GAGAACTTTGGCCCACGACTTTGGTACGTAATATATAAGCCAAAAACGCCTCTTTTAGGTCATATAACATATTGGGAAGAGGGAAAAAGCCACGAAAAAGCTGTGGAGGTCGGAATTCATCGAGTTTCATCTTTCTCCCACAAAACTTAGTAATTTTTATGTTTCTTTATATGATTTGTTGTTTGGCTACCATGTCTATGTGGAGCTAAACTTCACGTTCTAGGGTTGTGGTTCTTTCATGAATATTGTTATTCGGATATTGATTTTGACTTCTTGATTTATCATATTAGTTTATTTATTCAATCTTGCACTTAATTATTTAATTGCTTGATCACCAATTGAATATTATCTACGAATCTAGAATTGAACTCGAAAGTGGGAATTCTATATTGCATATAGGATTGAGTAGGGCAAGTTCTTGAACTCGGGCATCGGGGAACGGATTCGTGGTTAGGATAGACATATACCTAATTGCCTTGCTTGGTTGATTTACAGGAATTATAAATGCGTTCTTGTTGATTCTAACTCCATAGACATATAGGCGTTAGGTTAGCTTGAATAGGCGAGTAAGAACTCGACAGATTCTTATGAGCAATATTAACCCTGTCAACCAATAAGCTAGATAAATTAGTCGGTCAATTCAATTGAAGAATACAATAGGATTGTTAGATAGCCCATAACCCTAGATCGTTTTCATTACATTGATATCATTAAAATCTGCTCTTTCTCTGTTCAAAGTTTATTATTTATATTTTTCTTATTTAATTAGTTTAGAATAAAATATTTTTGGATTTAATTCTTGTTTAGATAATTGGGATAGTCTAATTTAGTTAATAGTTAATCATAAGTCCTCGTGGGTTCGACATCCGACTTTTAGTCACTTTATTACTTGACGACCGCGTATACTTGCGTGAGTGTGTTTGGTCGCAACACCTAACTAAATCTTTTCTCCTCTCCATTAAATCCATTAAATAGAGCTGATAATAAATTAAACTAAAAAATACGTATTAAGTAATAATAAAAATTTAGATGCGAGATACATGTCTTATATTGATTTGTTTGGTGCAAACACCGGGTGCAATACTTATATGCACATGGTGTTTACATCAAACTAAGCAATTTAACTATAAAAATCACAAATTAAAGAAAAAACTACATATCACTTTCCGTATTCTTTGTGGTGCTTACAATTAAGTACCAAAAGGAAGTTGTAAACATAACTGAACTTGACATACAAGAGCTTGAGATGTATACTTACATAACAAGCAAAAGAAAAAAAAGAAAAAAAAAAGTCAGAGAACTTAATAAGTTATGTACAGCTTGTCTAGCACTTCATCTTCAAGTAGATTTAAACGTATCAAGACCATATGCACCCTACAAAAGAAAGGTAAAATTGAATAAAAAAAATCAAAGAAGAGAAAGGTAGCTAGTCAAAGAGAAAATGATAAGAATTTTATTCTGATCTCACCAGAACGTTGTGAATTTCTTTTAACAGAGGTGCCAGTAGTGAAATTAAGGTGCGCATTTCCTTCTTAAAGTCATCGTTACTTTTATTTTTTCCCATGAGAATTGTGATTAAACCCTTGCTGTCTGGCACTAGCTTTAACGCTACCTGCAGTGTAAAAATTTCAGTTTGATTCTCGAAATCCGAAAATAATATTCAGTGAACAAATTAAACTATGAATAGTAGTGAAAGAATTATGATGAAAAAAGAAAATCACTTTGAAAGCTGCTGAAGAGATCCATCCATGCCATGGCTTAAGAGTTTTAGTGTAAGATTCTTGAACTGCTTGCTCCATATTCCTCTCTAAATCTTCAACCAGTAGTTGTAACAATGCTAATGTGAAATCCAAGGACCTACAAAGCATGCATTCTAAATACTAAGTTCAATACAGGCCAATTAAAAGTAATACTATTCTAATTAACCTACTTTGTTGATAAATAGGAATTATTGAAGGCGGATCCAATATTTTAAATTTGATGAGTTCAATCTATAAGTTCAATCCACTACATTTTTTAAATTATAAAGTTCTTTAAATTTTATTAATTTTTCACATATATATTTATATATGTTGCACATCAAAAATATTAAGTTCAATTGAACTCATGAAACAAGGCTCCATCCGCCTTTGCGATCCGCACCATCGCAATTTATAGTTTTAGGGTCAAGGGTAAAAGGCTAACCGGCCACTATGTTTTTTCTTCTTTGTTAGGAGGAAAAAAATCAACTTTGATTGTAATTAATTATATAGTAATACCTGGTGAATAGAATGTTAGAAAGAAAGTTAAAGAGCCAATAATAAAGTAAATAAACGTTCAATAATTACCTGGTGAGCCAAAGAACAGCTTTGCTACAGCTAGGACCCTTTCTTTCTTTGCCCTCATTAACCTCTTTCTTTAATATCTCAACTATATTTGAGTAGAGGGAAGGGTCTGAATCATGGATCTTTTCCAATCTCTAGACATTAAACAAATTGAGCAAATAAACTTAATTTAGCACAGACGGTAATTAAGAGCATTGAGTATATATACGTCTTGTTTCTTAATTTCTTTAGTGTGCATTTACTTGTCATCCGTATGTTAATTTTCCAAGAGTTATGTGTACAACAAAAAGGCATTGGGGGAAAGCATCTACTTTATCTAGTAAAACAATCGTACAGCTTATCTTATTTTTTCCTCCAGGAATAACATCCGAATGTTAATTTTCCAAGAGTTAGTAATCTTGTCTTGTTATAAAAAGAAAAACAAATGGAGAGAAAATAGAACATATGAGGTTAAAAAAAGAACGGAAAAGGGTCAAAATTATTCTCGAACTATCGAAAATAGCTCAAATATACTCTCCGTTTATTTTTTGTACCAAATTTGTCCTCGCCGTCTAAAAATTGGACCATTATTACCTTGAAAACTGACGGTTGCCCCATCAGTTTTTGGACATATTTAAATATTACGGAAAAGGGGTCAAAATTGCCCTCGAACTATCGAAAATAACTCAATTATATCCTCCATTTGTGCTTAGTACCAAATATGTCCTTGACGTCTAAAAATTGGACCATTACTGCCCTAAAAACTAACGACCGTCACATGAGCTCATGTGAACAACAAAAGTCTATCTCCAACAGACGGTCCTCCATCTTGATAAAAGCTCCCACGGATAAAATTTCTTTCTCCATTTTCATTCTTTGACTCATCTAAGTGTTGCTCCTTCCAAATAATTAAAGCTACACCAATCTTATTATGAGAAATTTAGTTGGACTATTCTTAAGATTCACAAATATGTAAAAAAAAAATTAATATACTATACAAAAAATAAAATACCAACTTTTATGACTTAAAATCAGAAATCTTATCACAAAAATGGTGGAGAACAACAAAAGATGCATATTGCAGTACTCCCATGACTAGCTATCCAAGCTCATAGCTCAAAAACGTCACAAATTAGTTGAAGAGATATATCCTTTTAAAAACAACTCTCATAAAAAACTTGAAAACCATTAGAATGAGATCATCCTCTAAAATACTATACCCTTCTACTTCCAGCCTTCATTAACAGAAAAGAAAAGAAGATCGACTGCAAATAAGACCTAAACCAAAAATATCGTAAAATAATACACTTTTTAGACACCACCTAATCCTTCCCCTCCTCACTGGCCTAGCTAGCAGGCCACCTGAAGTGCTTCTCTGCGCCTTCGCAGCAACCCCTCGCAGAAAATGGGTTCTTGCAGTGTGGAGAAGGTTTTTTTTTTTGTCATGTTGTACTGGCATGTCAACATGATTATAATATTTAAATAGGTCTAAAAGCTGATGTGGCAGCCGTTAGATTTTAGGGCAAGGACATATTTGGTACCAAACACAAACAGAGGATATAATTGAGTTATTTTCGATAGTTTGAGGGCAATTTTGATCCTTTTTCCGTAATATTTAAGTATGTCCAAAAGCTGATGTGACAACCGTTAGTTTTTAGGGTAATAATGGTCCAATTTTTAGACTGCGAAGACAAATTTGGTACAAAAAACAAACTGAATGTATATTTGAACTATTTTGACCCTTTTCCGAAAAAAGAAATCAACTCAAGGGCATTCTCGGTGTTATACTGAAGAGCAGTTTATTTCATTTAAGAAAATAAAAAAGAATTCCTACAGTAAACTAGATGGGAGAATAACTTGAGTAATCCTTCTAATATCTCAAACCATATAGTATAGGAATATGGCATTGCCAAAAACAATGTTGTCCACTGTATAAGAAACAAACAAGAAGGGCGAAATGGCCTAATTAGAAAATGAAAGAAAAGATGCATTGAACGGCAAGCAATAAATAAAGTGGATAAAAATAATAGTAGAAGCTCGAGATTTAAATCCAAGTAAAAAGTAGAAATGTTATGTTCTTATATGTCTAAACTTTCACAAAAAGCTTAGAAGTTAGAGGACCTAGCTTGAAAAATCCAAATTATAACAGTTCAATGTCCTTTTTTTCTATTTTTGGTCGTTCATTATCAATTAGAAGTCAAAATGAAACCTTTTGGCAGCATAGAGCTTGACGAAGCTAGAGGACCTATCAGTAATAATAATGTATGTGGGGGACCAAAAACCAAATCGTGTGTTTTACACGTACAACATGAAAATGACAGAGCTACACACACAGTAAAAGATAAAAAGAAAAAATAAACAAAGATTATCATCAAGTTAAAAAGTCCTCATTTACAAAAGTTTCCATAGAATTTATACCTGGATGTTCTGATATATGTCTTGTCTCAATACTGTCATTGTTGGCCCTATCTTATCTGCAAATCAGTCCACGACAAAATAACCAAATATATTAAAACGCCAAATCAAATAAATTATCCAAATATTTTTTTTTTTTTGTGGCGAACAAAACTAAGAGCTAGCTCTATGGAAGAAAAACTTCTCAAGAATCAGAACGGAAATAAATTAAAGGATCTGTTTTATACAAATTGGAATTGATAAAAGGAGAAAATTAGAAAGAGGAGGAATATATACTAACCAAGAACTTGAAGGACCAAAGTAGAGATAGAGAGAAAAGGCAAGGTAGGAATAGTGGTAATATTATGATCATCAGCTTCAGCTTCAGCTTCTTCAGGTTGTACTTTGAGCAGCTGCAACATGGAAAGTTCTTGAATAGCAGATCGTATTTCAGTTGACTCTATCTCCATATCTCTTTTTCTCTTCATTCCAATACTTAGCTTGCTCTCCTCTCTTTAATTCTTCAATATATTCCTAATTATAAGCTAAACTAGTTATATTTATAAGTATCTGATGACATGACACCGGCCAGTTGATTTCAAAACTTGTAAGATAGTGCCAAGAATTGTAAAATATTGCAAAATTAACCAACAGTTTTGGTCATTGTTATCGTCAGATAGATGAGTAAAATATATTCTTTCTTAAGGGTCTGAAAGCTGCTCGGAGCTTCTGTCTCTTATGATATGTTCTCTCTCTAAACAGGACTGGTTATTGACCTTGAAGTTGTCATTTATCTTATTATTATAATCAATTGGTATTATTGCATTGTTTTGTGTTTAATTACCTCCTTTGAGTATTAGGTAAGATCGCAAGCTTCCAAATGATAATCATTTATTGAACTTCTCTTCTTCTTCCTTTTTAACAATAAAAGGCACAAGAATCTAGAGAGGGACATTTGTTGAAATGGAATAAATCAAGCAAGCTCAAATCATAACTCAAGAATTATAAAATTTGTAACTTATAGGTGATAGGGATAACAATCATTATAAATATGGAGTTATCATAGCTTAACTACGAATTAATGCCATTTCAAATAGAATATATCCTAAAACTAGATGACAATCGAGATTGGATGATTCATGGGATTAGAAAAGTTACCAACTTGGGTTAGTAAATTTAAACAGTACTTTTCCGTTTTATTTCACATAAGTACTTTAATTAATTCTGTCCACTCCAAAACTATAGACACATTTCTATATGTTATGTCCCTAGTGACATATTATTGTAGAAATTATCATGCTACAAACACAAAAAGACCATTAATAATAATAATACATACTAGTACTTTTGATATATCACATATTCTTTTGTTATTCATCAAAAATCTTTCTTTCTTAGTTAATGCAGTCAAATATAATGAAAAGATAAGGACGGAGTAGTGGCGGCAAACGGTCCTGTCGGGTCGGATATGTACGGGTCAAAAGCGAGTAATACAAAAACGGATAAATTATCCGATCAGACTCATATTTAATACGAATAAAAAAATGGGTTAACCGGCGGATAATCTATATTATCCTTGACTTCTTGAATATGTTCACTTTTGGGAGAATTTCTAGTCTTCTAAACTAGAGGAACCCCCAATTTGAGGCTTTACAAATGTAAAAGCCCAGTAGTTATCTATTGGTTATCCATTTTCTAAGTGGATAATATGGTTCTTATCCATATTTTACTCGTTTTTAAAAAGTTTATCCAACTCATTTTTTAATGGATAATATGAATGGATATCTATTTTCTTAATTTTAACCATTTTGCCACCATTAGGACCGAGTAAACGAAGAGAGGGAGATCGGAATGGGAACAGAGGTCGTATGAGGGTATTATCATCTCCATAATTTTTTTTTTCCTAATATATATATATAGTTGAGTTACTACTGGTAAAATTTGCTTTGTATGTCTTCCATCTTATACGAGGTGTTGTCAGTTTTATTTGATCTAACTGATTTTATAAATTTATTCTTTTAACAATGTTATATTAACCGAAAAAACGGATACTATGTGAATTTAACAAAATTTTCTCATACTTTTTCAACGTGGAATTCGCATAAGATGTGATCACATATACTTCTTTCAAAGTGTGACAATATCCCACCATATAGTGACTAACGCTTTGAACTCAGTAAAATGTGTTACTAAGATCTACAACTTGCTTCCTTGCATAGCATCTCTTATGTGGTTCAATGAGATAATTTCAAACATAATTTAACACAGAGACAAAGATTAAAGTGTGAAATAAAGAATCAACTATATTATTTCTCCATAACGTTTGTTTGTGGAACCAACAAATTAAAACAGAAGAGGGTTTTTGGACATGAAGATTAGACATCTTGAACAAGTTGAGGAAATATTGGTGGATGTTCTTGTATATATTTGCTCCGGAAAGTTATGTAAAAGGAGATTTGATTGCAATACATTTCATACGTATAGTAAATAATACTGACGTAAATTAGAAAATAAATTAAAAATATATAAGCTTTGGTACGGAAAAGTTAAATATAATTAGATACTACTAATCTTAGTGTACGCGCTTTGCGCGTGTACTGATAATCAGCTTAATGTATGCATATTTTGATATATATCGCCTCACATTTTGCTCACGTCTCGATGATTTGAGATGTTTAATATGATTATTTGTGCTAAATTTTGGTATTTCTATGTGTAGGGATCATTCGGATGCAATTTGGGACGAAAGGGCATGAATTGGAATGAAATCGGAACAAAAACGCAAAAAGTGAAATTTGAGGGCCACAGCCAGCGTGGGGTGCTGGCTGTGGCGCAATTTACAGCAGCTAAAATTTGTGAGCGCCAGGGCCAACGCCCCATGCTGCCCTGGACGCTCAAGACGTGAAAGTAGCCTTTTTCAACTAGGACTCGGTTATTTCGACCCCTAGACACCCCCAACTCATATAAAAGCCAACCTAAACCTATATTTTAGAGGAGGACGTGACTTAGAGAGAAGAGGGAGGCGCCAAACACTCGGAAGTAAAGATTTGATCAATTCTTCCATCCCTTTCCTAGTACTCATTGATTTTATGTTTGAAAATATTATTTTTGATGATTGTATGAACATGAGTGGCTAAGAACCCTATTATTCTAGGGTTAAGGGTATACATGAATGTTGACGTTTGAAGTTTAATTTGACGAAGTTGATTTTATCATATTGGGTTGTTTATTTAATTCTGTTTTTAATTATTTTGCTGAGTAGCTAACAATGAAATACTATCTACGAATCTAGAGTTGAACTCGAAAGTGGGAATTCTAGATTGCATATAGAATTAAATAGAGCAAGTTCTTAAACCCGGGCATCGGGGAACGGATTCGCAATTAGGATAGATATATACCTAATTGCCTTGCTCGGTTGCAATACAGGAATTGTAAATGCGTTCTTGTTAATCTTAATTCCATAGATATATAGTTATTAAATTAGCTTAAATAGGTGAGTAAGGACTCGACAGATTCTTATGAGTAATATCAATCCTGTCAATCAACAATCCAGATAAATTAATTAGTTATTTTAAGCTAAGAATGCAACATGATTGTTAGATAACCCGTAACCCAATACATGTTGTGGTTGATTTCTAGTATTTCATTACTTGATAGTTTTTAGGTAGTAAATTAGAAAATTATCTATTTTGTAAGAAATCGCTTGAATCGATAAGTTATTTGAGTTTGAATTAGTCAAAAGTTAATCATAAGTCTTCGTGGGAACGATACTCTACTCACTACTCTATTACTTGACGATCACGTATACTTGCGGGAGTGTGTTTGGTCGCAACAAGTTTTTGGCGTCGTTGTCGGGGACTTAGAAATTAGCTACTTGGCTGAGTTAAGCTTTTATTAGTTATTTGTTCAAGCTCTAATTTTTAATTTACCTTGTTTGTGTTAACGCAAGCTCTTCTCTTGAATGCGGAGGAGTAGAAGTGCAAACAAGCTCCTTCCTCTTGATCCTGAAATTGAACGAACACTTCACAGAGTGAGGAGGGAAGTCAAAACAAGAACTAGAATAGGGGGAGGGTTGGACATTGTAGTTCAACCACAGCCAACAGAGATGGCATGTAATGAAGAGCGTGTGGTGATAGAAGCCGCAAGGCCCAATCTTACGAATATGACTCAGGCTATTGTAAAGCCTGATATCACAGGGCATTTTGAACTCAAACAATACATGGTACAGTTGATTCAGTCCACAGGGCAATATATGGGTCTATCTCATGAAGACCCACAGAGGCACATTCAGAATTTCCTAGAAATTATGGACACATATAATTATCCGAATGTTTCTAAGAACTATGTTAGGCTGACATTATTTCCCTTTTCATTGCTGGGGGAAGCTAAGGAATGGTTGCAAAAGGAGCCCGCGAACTCTATCCACACTTGGGATGATCTAGCAAGGAAATTCCTGATCAAGTTTTTCCCAACTAAGAAGACAAAGTCGTTGAGGAGCCAAATTCTTGGGTTCCAACAACGGGATGGCGAGACACTTCGTCAAGCTTGGGAAAGATACAAGAAACTACTCAGAGACTGCCCGCATCATTGTCAGACTAATGAGGTATTGGGTCACACTTTTGTTGATGGGCTAGATGAGGCATCAAAGATTAATCTTGATTCAGCTTGTGAGGGTAGTTGCATGGCGATGCCGTATAGTGAAATACAACTCTTGCTAAATAATTTCACTGCTAATGACCATAATTGGCAAGGAGATGAGGACTCACACAGGGCAATTAAACAGAAGGCAGCCGGGTTGATTGAGCTTGATGACTTTTCAGCCATGAGAGCCGATATAGCAAAATTGGCAAATCAGATGAATAGAATGATAATGCAACAAGCACAACAGATGCAACATGTACAACAGATGTCTATTTGCTGTGAACTATGTGGTGACAGTCATATGAGTGACATGTGCCCCACGAATCCTGAATCTATATACTATATGGGGCAACAGAGTAGAGGTCCAATGAATCAGCATGCACAATATTGGAACACTTACAATCCAAATTGGAAGAATCATCCCAACTTCTCATGGGGAGGAAATTAGCCGAATCAGAATCACTATAGGCCCCAAGGAAATTTCAATCAACCTCAAAAACCACCCCAACAGATAGAAGAGAGTACGAATGACTTGCTGAAGAAGTTGTTGCTTGACAATCAACAGCTGAGGACCTATTTCAGAAATCTTGAGAGGCAAATGGGACAGTTAGCAGCAAATCAAAACACTAGACCTGCAGGCGCTCTTCCCAGTGATACAGAGAAGAACCCTCAAGTTAATGCAGTTACACTCGGAAATGGGAGGGAACTAGAAGAAATGCCAAAGAAGAGAAAGGACAAGCCTATACCTGAGGGAGAGCTGATCCCTAAGGCAATACATGAGTCAAAGAAAAATGATGCAGGTTCAGAGCCAGTGGAGGCTGCAAGGCCACCACCACCTTTCCCCCAGAGATTGCAGAAAAAGAATGATGATCGCATGTTTAACAAATTTCTCTCTATGTTGAGCCAGGTTCAATTGAATATTTCATTGGTGGATGTACTTCGTGAAATTCCAAAATATGCTAAGTACATAAAATATATAGTGACTCACAAGAGGAAATTGACTGAGTTCGAGACAGTTACACTTACTGAGTGCACTTCAAGGGTCCAAAACAAGCTTCCTCAAAAGCTTAAGGATCCTGGCAGCTTCACCATCCCTGTGCGAATTGGTAATAT